TATTACCTATTAGCTGCCAATGCACACTACTTTAGTATTAACTCTGGCTAACAGTGTGGATTATAACGGTCGGCAATCGGCCATTTGCCGAACAAAAACAACAAATGGCCGATCAACTTTATTCTGGTCGGACATTTTGACCGATCAAATATATACAAAGATTCCATTACTAAAATTTCATCACTTGATAGTTGATTACTACAGTTTAAGAAGGAAAAATCATACTAAGAAAACTGGTATTTTCTTTTACTGTTTTAGTTCTTTTACTGTTCGAGATGCTGCACTTCGAAATTTTGTTGTTGTTGTAGTGATCGCCATTTTGAATATTTAATTATCATACCAAGCCTCTTTCAGATGTCGCGCCATCCTTTCGCGCGTGTAGAAACACGTGCTTAAAGGAGATTGGCAACAAAAATTGCTTCATCTATCTTATTGCTTCATCTGAAAGAGCATGAAAAAATAAGCCGATTGGCCGTTTAATGCTCTATTCTATCTCATCTAGTTCCAAAGTTATACGCAAAAATGTGAAAATATAAATTGCTGATTCAGCACAACGTGTGACGTCATTAGCTGGGTAAGTATGTTTATTGAATACTACACTGAAGCATAGCTCAGTTATTATGGGCCCAAATCAAATCAAATTTTGCATACTGATTGTACATGATGAGACGCATGGAAAAACACTTCTAATTTTGTTGCCAAGGTAACAATGTCGTTTCCAGGCCCCTTGCGCCAATTTTATGAAACAGCTTTATTCAAGGTACTGATAAGAATAAAATAATATCAGAAGTATGTGTATGATATCTATGCATGCCAAAAGTTTACTTGCATGATAATAATTCGAAAATGACATACACATAGATAAATGCAACTAGTTATTCAAAATCAGTGTAAGAGGCCTGGGAACGACTGTGTTGCCTTGACAACGAAATTAGAAGTATTTTTCCCATGCATCTCATCATGTACTATCTGTATGCAAAATTTCATTTGATTTGAGCTAATAATAACTCAGCTATGCTTTAGTTTACTATTCAATAAACGTACTTACCCAGCTTATGACGTCACAGAATGTGCTGAATCAGCAATTTATATTTTGCACATTTTTGCGTATAACTTCGGAACCAGATGAGATAGAATAGAGCAGTAAACGGCCAATCAGCTTATTTTTTCATGCTCCTTCAGATGAAGCAATAAAATCAATAAATTTTTTTGTTGCCAATACCCTTTAAGCCTGAAACACGTGCAAATCATGCAAAGTTCAAAGTTTAACTTCAAATATAGAATAAAATATTGCAATGTTTATATGCTAAATACTAAAATAGCACTTTTAAAATAGGAAATATTCATATGGCGTCCAAGTGATCAATCGACGTTTCGGCTAGCGGTTCAGGCAATCAGGCTAAGAAACCTAAGAGAAAGGTGTCAGTAGCAACCTTTCAGAAGTGGCAAAAGCAGGAAGAGAAAGAACACAAAACGATTTCTTGGCTTCGTTGAGACAAACAACAAAGTCACGTCACAAGTCTTTGGTGCCAGGTATGCAGAAAATTCGAAAACAATATACGTGGGGTCAAGAACTTTTCGGCTGCATGGATCGTTGGGACCGCTAACCAGAAGTTATGTAATGTGATTGATCATGCGCGATGTGATCAGCACAAGCTATCAATGTCCTTGCTAAGAACTGAGCAAGCTAAAGCCACGAATACTCCAATCACGTCATACGCTCCGATTGCACGAAGCATGTTATATATGGAAAAACCGCTGCAGGAAAAGATGTGCAAAAAGTTTGACATTTGCTACGTCCTTGCTAAAGATAACCTGGCATTCCGCAAGTACCCTGCAATTCACCAACTAGAGAGTCATCATGGGGTTGATTTAGGGCAGTCATACACCACGAAAGATTCTGCCAAATCATTTTCTCATTACATAGCAGAAAGCCAAAGCACTACTTTCATTAACACGCTGTCAACCATGCACTTTTACAGCTTTCTAATGGATGGCACAACTGATGCTGGTAACGTTGAAGACGAACTCATCGTCATCATGGGCTTTCAAAAAGATGATACAGCTGGTGAAGTGGGAACTTTCGCTAGGTATTTTAGCCTTGAAGTGCCAGCGAAAGCCGACGCGGACGGGCTGATTGGATGCCTCCAGAAAGCAGTGGGAGCTATTGGTCCATCGGCACCTGGGAAAAACAGTGTATTAAGCAAGACCAGCGTGTTGGAGGCCAAACCAATCCTTGTAGGTGGTGGCACCGATGGAGCTTCAGTTAACGGCGCAAGTCAAAATGGAATGAGAGGCAAAATGCAGCGAGAACTCCCGTGGTTTTTCTGGAGTTGGTGCTATGCTCATAGATTGGAGCTCGCCTGCAAAGATTCTTCCACAAGCAACCATTTCAAGAGCGTATCCGAAATGCTGCTTCGTTCGTACAGCCTTTACTCCAGGTCGCCCAAAAAACTCAGAGAGCTGACTGATCTTGTCAGTGACCTGAAGCAGGTATTCGAGTTCCCGGAAAGTGGAGATACGCCGCTGGATTCCGCACAAACGACAATCACTGCAGAGAATTATTGAACGTTATGGCGCATATATGTCTCACTTAATGACCTTGGTAGAAGATAGTTCAGTCAGCAGCGCAGATAGATCTCGATTGAGAGGATTTCTTGTGAAGTGGCAGCATGGAAGGATGCTCATGGGGTGCGCTTTGTACGTGGATGTTCTAAAGGTGCCATCTATACTCAGCAAGGCACAGCAAGCAGAAAAGTTAGACATCGTGCTGGGACTTCAGAATATTGTGAAATTGAAGAAAGCATTGAAGCGTCTAACCGATGCTGACCCACTCCAATGGCCGACTGTGAAGATTGTTCGTAACAGGATTAAGAATGGCAATGAATACCAAGGAGCCACTCTGAAGCGAGTTGATGACGAAATGCTCGAATCTTGCATGAATCAGGCATTGACTGATGTACGTCAACTTAAAGAAAATATGCGAGAAAGGCTTGAATGGTCAGATATGAAGCTTCTGCGAGCAATCCTGGTTTTCTTGGACACCCAGACTTGGCGCTACATCATCCCAGCAAACCAGGAAAGCGAATCTCAGCAGTCTGATTCAGAGAACTCACCTGAGGACAGGGCATTAAGTGAAGTTTTAGCTGCAGTAGAACTGATCGCAACAATGTTCAAAGAGCCACTGCA